TGTGTGCGCGGGCGTGTTTATTGAAGTCGTATGAACCGAGTCTAATGAAAGGGGTGAGTGACGAATATGAATAAGCTTGAGGTAAACCTGTTTGGACAAGCTTACGCTGACTGCCCACCACAAATCTAGTTAGCTGACTTAGCTGTCCGCTTTGTGATCTTCACCCAAAATCGTTGTATTTATTTAAAACGTATCATGCCAGCACAAATCAATCACTACCTTTTGGTAGACTGATGTTGCAAAAATTGTCAGTTCACTGAGGACAATATCCTAATTTTCAACAACTATATCAGGCCTAAGCACGTAGCAGCCACATTTTGAACAAACGCAATTGATGCTTGGTTCTCAATTCACAAAATCAAAATCACATAGAGCCCTTGCGGTTGGTCGGTGTTAAGAGAATTAACTTTTCGATCCAAATTTATTCGGTGGACTGGCTAGTGATGTATCGAATTTGCCACTGAACTCAGACACCTATGACCTACCAAACTGCATGATTCCTTAGAGAATGCAGTCCGAAAACTAATTTATTCTCAAACGCCTCTATTTCTAACTAGAATGACGAAGGAAACATTACTGGTCTAGCTGGTGGAGCAAGCAATCCAACTTGGATCTCTGACAAAAATAAAGGCTTGAATAAACTTCAGATATAACATTAAATGCTGACGGTTGGGACATTCAATCTATCCAGATGTGGGACTCACCATCACCCGTCTATTCAAAGGTGAGCACTTTCTCGCTACAAAAGCGGTCACCAAGGTGTGGGAGGGCAGCCGCCAACGCATGCAAGTAGTCAGGAGCGCTGAAACCCGTTGGTATTGGAAACAACCCTTTTTTGTCCGAATGCGATTTGTGCGGAAATATTAAAAGGTTGTAGTAGAACCAGCTGACATTTCTAAAGCGCACCAGAATTCCCTTTGTTAGTCATTCTTCCTGATGCCACTTTGTTAGTCATTCTTCTCAGTCTTTTGTTCATCACGTAAAGGCTCGCTAAAGCTAATGAAATGGGCGGTAACAGTAAGATAGGATACTAAAAAAACACTTGAAACTCTATCTTCGAACACGAATCTTATGCAAGCACTTTTTTCAGGGGAGTATACATCATTCAGCGATTGACTAAGAAGTCATGTGATTCCAGACTCTAACCGAAAAATATAATGCAAAAGTGCTGTCCAGAGCAACTGGCTGCTTCATTTTTTCCCGTTCAATTCAGATCCAAAATAACGCGAGGCCCAACCGCTATATTTTAGGGACACACAACTTAATGATTAAGCAAAGTGTCCAACTCAGCTATGAGCAGGTGTACTGAGTACTAGTTGTCGGACTCCAAGAAGGCGAATATCACGAGACCTTACAGCACAACCACCGAATCTGGTGCCAGGAATAGAATTAGAATATTGTTTAGTTGGTGGCAGATATGGTAAACTTTAAGCTTATAAATGCCTGTATCTTAAAATCAGATTGTTTTTACAGTCTGTCTTACGGGTCTTGCCTTTTTTAAAGGGACTAGTTTTCAAAGGACTTCATGGTAAATAAAAAGTATGCACTTTGTTACTACAACTGAACCACAACTGTTAAGGCCCATGTTTGGAATGTAAGCAAATTTCGAAGGGAATTTATAGTGCACAATATCCAAGCACAAAGCACATTGTGAGAGTATAATACCGTGCGCGTTGATCTGGGTTAATGTTGGACTACGAGTTAGTAAAAATAAATAAATCCAAATTGGCTCAATACTTTTATTAGTTAATTATTTACTTATACAGATCGCCAAGCTCCAAATTTGGTTGTCAGGTTACGAAATACGGCAGCGAGTTCTTGTTTCAAACCTATGCCACCTTAGTTGTATACGCCCCAATGTTATGTTTAGTTCCGTCCACTCAATTGCAAAGGTTTTGCCTACTTCCGTTTTTGATACAATCTGCTTCGCACAATCGACTGGTTTGTCCGCTAAGCTTTGATTCGTGCTTAGCAATGATTTCGTGTCCTTCCCGTATTAAGTTTTGCCGATATTTGTAGGATCGCGTTTTAATGAGGCGTTGTATCAATGAGACAGATGGTTATCTCAGATTGGAGGTAGAAGAAGCTGAAAGCAAGGAAATAATGACCACAGTTTGGCATGGTTTATGCATTCCATATCGCCTCTCAGATCATACAGATTTGGTTATTTTTATCGTGAACGTCGCGACAATGGTGGATCATGCAAATTGATATTCATGAGCACGATAAACGTCCAATGAACGGTTGAGGCCCTATCACAACTTCATGCCTTAGATTTCTTGCAACAACGTCTTGGTTACGCGTCAAGTTCCGGAGATCCGTGCGTCTTATCAGCCCCCAACTTATTAATGCAGACACGCCAGAGAAAGTACCAGTGTGCGTATGTCATCCGTGTAATTGTTAAGCTTTAAACAGAAATGCAAGATGACAATTAGGCAGAGTCGTCTAATAAAGGTTTGTTTGTTGGCTGCCTCTGGTCTCATCCTTCTCATGTACTTGTGTAGCGTTAGTGGACCACGAAAAGTGTTCCCTTGCACACTACAATCATACTTCCTTCAAGTCATCTCCACTTCCTTTACTCAAAGACAGGCTGTTGAATTATTCGAGTTCAGAAATCGCAAAGCTGCCTGAAGAAACGCTGTCAACTGATTTTAGAAATTGCAAATCAGTGCAAAATCACAGGTGCATGATTCTCTTAAGACTTACGTTTCCTTAGCTCATTTTTAATGAGCTGTTATTTAATTGGCGATTTCGTATTCACTAATTTATATAATCCTAGTGAGGCAGACTTGAAAGTGTGCACAGGTGTCGCCTTCAAATTCACTTCTCATGGTAGATGATGCCCACCAAAACATGCATCGAGCTTGCACAATGAGGTGCAATGTGGTTTCGTGCTGCGAAAAGTAACCTCGAACAATCCCCTGTTTGTGATCCGAGCCTTAGCGTTAAGCTCTCTCCTTGCGTTTAGGTGTTACGTCAAAATGTCTTTATGTCATTGTCTTGAAGTTGTTATATTTTTAATAAGCAAATCCAAAACGAAGTTTAACAGCTCTTGTGAGCACTTGTTGACTGAGAGGATGGAATTATTCTAAGAAAACTAATTCATGCATGTGATCAATGTCAGTTAATTGGACATGTGTTATGTAGGAACGCGAGTTTAAAAGTTGCTGACTGTCCTGAATATTCGTTTATGATACCTGGTGTAATTTCCTAGCCACAAACTGCCTTAAAGACACGCTTTTATCAACTTCGGATTCATACGATACCACGACGATACAATTTGAACACCAAATTTTTTTGACAGAGCGATTTCGATTATATTTAATTGCCATCAAACTAATTTGTTTTAAGTGGTTAAAAAAGGGTATTTGATTGTTCGGACTTTAATACTTGATTCTTTTGGACCTACTCCCGACAAACAAATTTCTCTCAGTGCTATGACCACGAGTTTCTGTACCTAATTTGTTTAAGAAAGGCAGTTTTTCAGAGCTGGCTTTATTTTTACCGTGCAGTCGCACAGGTCAGAGCAACTTGAGTGTGCATATGTGCATGTAGCCATTCTCAGTACCGGCTGTGATGCAGCGTGCAACTGCATCTTGATTGGTTAAAACTACATTAATTCGCTCGGTGTTGTGTAGAGGTTGGCATTAGATGTGTGTGTAACTTATTTATTGATTAAACGGTTTAACGCCGAGTGGCTAACACCAAGGTCACTGAAATTGTGCCACTTTATAAGCCTTGCTCCTAAATGCGAACATGTGCTTCTCTGATTTGTAACGGTGAGTATTTTTTTTATTAAAAGTATAGTCAACTCTCACTATGGTTTACATGGCGTTTATTTGCATAGAATTTCACTGTCGGTGGCAAGGATGTTAAGAGTTTGGTTTTTGCAGCTACAAATCACTTTCGTTTAAAGCATGCCGTTGGCATATGTGAAGTACACTATTAATGATTAAAACAGATTGTTGAATTGTTAACTTTACTGCTCGAATATTCCATTTTTACAAAAATTTGTAACCTCGTTACTTACGGTGCCACCAAAAAGCTGTGAGTTTTAGTTAATTGAATTTTTATCACAAATGTAATACCAACTTTAGTTTTAATTCATCTTTGGTCAGCTCGAGATAGAGCTGATTAAAATATCTCAACCTAACACAATGTCTTTATTAATAGTAGATTTTTTGGTGACGAATCACATAATATTCAAGCCATTGGTGTGACAGTAAATTCCCATCAGAAATTCCCGTGCAACACTTTGGTATTTTATTGATTTCTAGGAATCATATTTTGGAGAGAAACCTAACATTCTCTGCAAATAACCGTTATCTACAAGTAAAGTGAAGTCTCCTGGCCATTCATGTGTCACTGCTTATTTAGACACAGACACCAAATGTAAATTCTCTTGCATACAGGTGCACTATCCGAATGTTCTTTAGTTTCCACGCAACAACTCGCAAACTACACTTTATTGTTGCCAATATTAAACTCTGTCTTGTTGAACCACTGGGTTTTAATTGGGCATTTCGATTGATGGAAACATCAGTTGAGGTTCATGTTTCGATTTGTAGCCTGAAATGTCGAAGGTTGGTCGCGGTTTTCAGGTTGGATTGAGTTGGGTTCCAGTTAAAGATTCGGAGGTGCCAAGGGGCGCAATTGAAACTCAACAGGGAATCTACGTAGCACGAGGAGAGTTCAACGGTGAAATTATTCCAGGCAAATACGTCGCCAAGTACCGTATCTGCTATGTACCTCGTGGTGGAGATGAAATTGAGCTGCATGAATGCGAAGTCCTTTGCGACACTTCTCTGACTAGAGAGTGACGCTGGTTAGTTTGCACATTTGCCCTCCAGTTTGCGCTATTTGGGTCG